CGGATACTCTTCAAGGGTAGCCCCATGTAGAGCGCATTGCAGTAGTCTATCTGGGAGATGATAAGGACATGAGTGACTGTTCGAAGGGCATCTTTCTCAGTGTTTTCTGTAGTCAAGTTCTGTGCAGGTAGTTGGTCTTTTAAATGTATTTTATTACTGGTGTCACACTCACTTTAGATTTAAACTAGTATTTTAATGTGACGTTCTATTCTTGTGAAAAGGATTGAAGGAGAAGAAAAAAGTAGCTTTGCTGCTGTGGGATAGATATTCTGATAGATTCTATATTTTTTGCTGGACAGAAGAGTGCCAAACAAGCAATATTTTAAAAGAAAACACATTTAAGATTCCCCCCCCCCTTTTTTTTTTTTTGCTATGTCAAGGTAGGACTGTATAGATATTTGAGAGACTTGGAAGAGTATCAACCTTGAAGCACTAAAAGGAAAAAAAAGACCAAAATATACAGAGAAGGCTATTGTATCAGATGGATGTTTATTATGTCAAAATCTTTAAATGCAGAAATGTGGCTAATATTGCTTACAGTATTAGGTACAAGGTCTTACAAGGTGATTTAAAAGCAACCTTGATCTATCATCTCTATAAGATTGAGGACTTGTAAATTGAGTAAAATTGTGAAGAAACATCCTAATTTTTACATGAGAGCAATGTAATGTCATGGTTAAGGGGTTGCATTTTGATTAGGGGAGCCCAGATTCAAGTCCTAATTAAGTGCCTTAACTTTTTTTCCCCTAAAAACCAAGAGGATGAGAGAGACTGAAGGGGGGGCTTTCCAGAGTTTGTGAGTGACAGTCCTTTTCCACATCTGAAGAAACAGATTTTTGCACATCATCATGTCCTCAAAAATGCTTCTCCTACAGATCTGGATAGCCAGATTAGTTCATAATAAGATAAAGGGAGGTCGCTTAGATAGCCAGGTCCTGAACTCTTTTGGACTTTAAACCTAACCTTGAACTGAATCTGGCAAATGTTGGACAAGGCTTTCACTAATAAGATGATACAATCTTGATGCATTCACTGGTTAACAGCTGAGCTGTCACATTTTATATCAATGGAAGCTTTTGGACTTCATTAATGTTGCGTCTATAACTTTCTGCAGAGATTTCCACTAACTTAGTTGGCCTGTAGGAAACTGCCCTTTTGCCAGTACAGCCAACACTACTACTACTACTACTACTACAGGGTATTTTGAGAGCAGGGGATTGTAGTAGTTAGGGAATTGTGAAGTCCCCGCACTTCATAGTAAATCCTTTTTCTTCTCTTTACTTTTCTCGAATGATATATCTCTAATAACTTCATGATGCATGGTTTTAATATTTAATGTGGGAATGTATTACATTCAACACAAACATTGTGTTGAATATATTACAGTAAAGCTAGTTATTTTGTATATTTGCAGTGCGGGACGCAAGAAATCTAATTCCTATGGATCCTAATGGACTCTCAGATCCATATGTGAAACTGAAACTCATTCCAGATCCTAAAAATGAAAGTAAACAAAAAACAAAAACCATCCGTTCCACACTCAATCCACACTGGAACGAGACATTCACATTGTAAGTTGCATTTTGATACTTTGCTTAACCATATTTTAATGACATTTTGTTGTATGAATGCATAAAGATGGCGACTGTTCTTCTCTTGTTAGCAAATTAAAGCCTACAGACAAAGACAGAAGGTTATCTGTGGAGGTCTGGGACTGGGATCGAACAACTAGGAATGATTTCATGGGATCCCTTTCTTTTGGGGTGTCAGAACTGATGAAGTCACCAGCCTGTGGATGGTAAGAGATCTTTGTAACCTGGTCTATTTGATTAATACATTGCTAATCCATTAACCATAAATTCTATTTAATTGTTGAAATGCTTCCTCACTGTGTCAGTTACATATTTACAGAATGTGTAATTATTAGCTTATAGGAAATGGAAACAGAAGTGCTGCTGAGTTTTAAAATAATACTTGAGTCAGTAACTGGCTTTGATATAGAAACAGCGTCTTTCTCTTTCAGCTGGTTCCCCAAAGTGTAGAAGAATCCAAGTCAATAGTACAGCCCCTCTCACCAGTTTCTCTGGAAGGGATGAAGCAGCCTTCAGATCAGCTGTGCACTTACCATGTACTGTGCTAATTCCTTCCTGCAGGAAAATGCTGCACCCTTAAGAACATGGACCACCTTCACTAAGGAGAGCCTGTTTGGCCTTAGTAAATTTAGAATTCGAGGATTGTGCAGAGATTCCTTTTGTGGTCTTTTCTCCTGAAGAAATGGCTTGCATACAAACAGTAAGAAAAATACATAAAGCAATCCTTTTTATATATCTCAAATTATTTTCCTCACATTCTCCAGGTACAAATTACTTAACCAGGAAGAAGGCGAGTATTATAATGTACCAATACCAGAAGCTGATGAAGATGGAAATGCAGAATTGAGACAGAAGTTTGAGGTGAGAATGTATTATTGCAGTGACTATAAAGGGCACTCATATCTTAAGAGCATTTAGAGCAGAGAAGTGTACAGGGTATGCATTTAGGGGTCCATTCTCACATCTCAAAGGTCTTTCCTGTAGAAATACTACCTAAAAAATAAATGTTTCAACACCTCTGGTCCCATCAGGAAACACTATTCTTTTCTAGCCAGCAGTTTGCCCTGTTTGTACTACTCTCAGTAAGTTGATAACTCCCATTTTACTATCAACATAAATTTCAACACCTGTCATACTCACTGTTTTTTTAAATTTTGAATTAGTAAATTATGCATAAATAGTAAGTATGCATTCAGATTTGCAGAAAGATGTGTTGACTTAGTACAGAGTTTGTGTCAGTTCCTGCTCATTTAGGAATTCACTGAAATACACCATTTGCCCAGGAGTGCCTAATTTTTGCTTTCAACTTCAGTGTCTGGAACCCACTAAAACCCCAGTTAAGTGTACAGTGAACATTATTTTTCAATCAACTGGACAACTTTGAATTTTCTTAACTTTTGGGTATGTGCACAAAACACGTGAATACTGCAAATCAACTACATTTGTTTCTGATTCAAATTCATGCTATTCTTATTAATGTTTAATTATTCTGACTAGATAATGAAAGCGATACTACCATTTTTAAGTTTGTGGTGCTCTTAAAAGTCACTGTCATTCTAGCATTCTGTATTCTTATTTCATACCTCAGAGTTGCTGAGTTGTGGGGCCATTTTACTGCACCTTCGTACCTGGAATGGAAGCATGCATGCCAAGACCTGAAAGCTCCATCCTTCTCTCCATCCCCCACCCTGCTCTTGTATGATTGGTCATATAATCAATGTTGCTAGTTCTGCTGATATTACCTTCTCATTTCAGAGAGGGCTCTGCAAAGGTAATAGGAGATGCCCAGGACTTTTCCCTGTAGCAACCTCCTTTGAGCAATGGGCCCTGGGAGAGCATCGGTCCCTTCCAAACTCTTTCTTCATTCTGATTGTTGGTTTCTGGGTCAAACCAGGTGTATCTGGTAAAGCACCAGTGTTTCAGACGAGGAACCAGAAGCCAACAGAGGAATTTAAACCTGCTTAGAAGAGCAAATGCACCCATTTTTTGTTTATGGCACTTGTTGAAGTACAATTTTGTTTAGTTTTAAAAGGCTTTATACATAGCAATTATTCGTGCAGAATCTCTCGAGCACAATACTTGAAGAGGAATCAATATGATGCATAGTTATGACCTGCAATTTGAATTAAAAAATAAATGTTGCTATTAAATAATAATTTGATAACATTTTTTCCCAAATTTTAAAAAATTCTATTCCAAGTTGGAAAAAAATACGCAAATTACACATTAGAGTCTCCTGACCTCCAGATATTGAATGAGTATGTGCTTAATGACTGCTTATTTAAAAGTTTAAAAACAATATTACTTGGGTATATTGTCAACTCTAGAAGAATATAACATTGATTGACATAATTACTCAAATTTGAAACAGGTGCTCAGCATTTAGGGTGACAGATGTGACTATACTTTTTAACCACGATTCCTGTCTGGGTACGATAGAGAAAATAATTGCAAAAAACCTTCTCTTTAGGCATATTTCAAATGTAAATAAGTGCAGCGTGGTTCACCAAAAGTGCAAATGCAAAAGGAAAACAGAAGGGGTAAATGCTAATAACAAGACACATAAGTAGCACTTCTGAGTTCAAATGACATACAATAAAGATAGCTACTTTTATTTAGAAAATCTTGTAAATGATTTTATTTGTATATGCTTGATTTTCATGCCACCTTTTGGCTGGAAATGAACAATTATGACAGCTTTTTCAAAGGGTATTTAATAGCTTGATTTTGTATTAACGAATAAGCCAAGGAATACAAGAAGATAGAGCCACCAGCAGGTTTCTCAAGAGACATGTTATTTTTAGGCTATGATTTGTTCCTACTGTATGGCATCTTGAACTTCCTGGAAGGTCACTTTTCCTTGGCAATGATCAAAGATAGAAGAATTTGCTTCATATTCTGAATTTTTAGGGTAATCTGGAATAGCAGCTGGAATGGTATACTTGCTCCCACTCTCCTAGGCAGGGGGTAACAGAAGCAAGCTCACTGCAGCTACTGTTTTGTTCTTTTTTGTTTTTTCCCCTCTTTGGCCAATTGATACATTAGGCTTCTTTTCCTCTTTTGATTATATTATTTCTGGACCCCTTCTGCCCCCTAGTCTCCTCCCTGATAGCAGAGGCCAGAATGTACTTTCCTTGAGCTGAAAATATCAGCCTCGTGTCTTCATTTATATAATGAACCTAGTAGACAGACTATATGCAGACACTCGTATATTTGTTGTTATTTTTTAAAGATCTATATATACACTCAGTAATATAAAGCCCATCCTGTTATGGTCGTTTTGAATCATAAAACAGAATGCAGGATTGATTATGTAAAAGCATGAATTCCTCATACGCTGGTTGGACTGAATCAATACTTTGGGGAGAATTACTCATAGACTTAATCACTGAAAACTGCAAGTCCATTAAATGTGGTCAGCAAGGAAGCCAAGATTAGTCACCTTTTAGAATGTGGTCTTCCTCATGCCCACCCAGATAATAGCCTTTGGTGAAGAGCCTCAATTTTCAAGAACCTAAGACCAGACTAATAGGGATTTCACACTGAAAGACCAGGAAAGGTAATGACCTAGAAGTTGGACAAAGAAGATAGTTCTGCTTAGGGTACTTCCCATGTACACCATTTGCTTCTATTTTATCATCTAGTCTAAGATACAGTATCTCACTACTGTTTTGTGTTAGGAGCCAGAAGATTGTTGCATTACTATATATACTGGTTATAAATAAGGAAGAATTTTTATTTTTTTTGTCTCAAAAGGGATGGATGTCTCAGAGCTATTATAAATATCTCTTTATGCTAATTCTTTTGCTCTTTAGAAAAGCAAACAGTGTTAACACACTGCTATACTGGATATAAAATAATAGTTCCCACAGTATTTTCTAACTAGCAGGGATGAGTCTGTGGGTAAATAGCACAAATATGAAATTCAGACAAATATATTGAATTTATACTATTTATAAAGTGCCTTTCTATAAAGTGGTGAGACTGTTGCTCAGCTAGTACAAATTTTGTCCAAATTGGACCTTGCAAGTTCAAATTCGGATAGGAGTGCTAATTGGCTGCGTCTTTCAGAATTGGTTGGAAAACCCAGCTCTGCTTTGCCATTCACAGAAGCACTGAGCAGTTCCTAAATTACAGTTCTGAATAAAATAAATGCAGTTTTTAGAACAGTGTAATGTCATTGCATAATAAGCATTATGAGAGGGATGGGCAAACATCTGTGCCAGAGGACATAAAATGTTGGCTAATGAAAGTAGCACGATCATTCAGTTGGGTAGATGTGTGCTACAGTGATTGTGACAAATACAAACGAGTGCCCATACAGGCATGTGGTATCATGCTAACTGCACAGGAAACTGGTAATTGTTTTTAAGGACACTTCATTGCACCAATTCTATACAACGATTATCCTGCAGTTCCTCTTTGTACCACTTTATTTCTGTCTTTTCTCTAAAGATCTGCAAATTATTCTTGCACACAAGCCTATTGCTTTTCTGTTATGGATACTTTATAAGAACCCAATAATTGCTTAGGATCACAATCTTGGTCAATGATTCCAGCTGTCATATGGTGCTCTTATAGAGGAAAATGACCAGTTAGACGGATAAGCCGCGTTAATGATGCATTTCTTGGTTAAGGGCAATTATCCTGCATTGTGTCTGCTCTTGAGGGCAACATTCCTGATACTATTTCATTTCCCCTGTTTTTTACCTGGCACAGAACAACTGGCAATTCATTTTTATGGGCTTCCCATTCTGCTGCTCCCATTATTGTATTACATTTGGTTTTTATTTGTTGCAGCTACTGATTACTATATTTCAGTGCCTTTGCTGCTATTACCTTAGAAATAAAGCATTTTTCTTCCTTTTTGCCTTTTCCCCTAAAGTTGCTATTCATATAGCCATCTATTAAAGGTGGTTTTCTCCTTTGTGTCCTTATTCATTTACATTCAGGTTTCCTTTTTGTTTTATTTTTCATTTCCAAAATTCAGACGCTGGTCCATTTTGGCCACCTTTTTAAAGATGCATTTTAGCATTTTAAAATTGTAACTACAGTTTTTCTCTATTTAAAAGGGTATAAAATAGCTTGCCAAATTTAATAAATATATCTGAATTTTTTTGTCTTTCCTTGAAAATTGAAATGGTGCATTTTTTAAAGCATAGGAGTGGTTTATTTTATTTCTTCACTGATGATACTTCTAATACAACCTCCAGAATTTACTATGTAGTCATACATTTAGAAAGCTATATTTTATTTATTTATTTGTTGGATTTCTCCCCCCGCCCATCTCCCCCACAATAGGGGACTCTGGGCGACTTACAAAAAACATTAAAACTATAAATATATCTAAAACACATAATACATCCAGAATTAAAAACAATACTAAAAAAGGAAGATCCAAGAAGATGGAGAATCAGGCTGCGGACAGCTGGCTACTATGGGGCTAGCCATCCCCCTGCTTGAAGTATTCCCTCCCCACCCCAGGCCAAGTGGCAGAACCAGGTCTTCAAGGCCCTTCAGAAGGCCAGGAATGAGAGGGCCAATCGCACATCCGGGGGCAGAATGTTCCAAAGGGCGGGGGCTACCACAGAGAAGGCCCGCCTTCTGGACCCTGCTAGATGGAATTCTTTTACTGAGGGGGTCCGAAGCGTGACTTCTCTGTGTGATCGGGTGGGACGGGTTGAAGACATAGGGGAGAGGCAGTCCCTTAGGTAACCTGGCCCCATGCCATGTAGGGCTTTAAAGGTAGTAACCAACACCTTGAATTGAACCCGGAAGCAAATTGGTACCCAATGCAGCTTGCGGAGCAATGGTGTTACATCGGCCCTTCTTGGGCCTCCAAAAATTGCCCGTGCAGCCGC